TCTGCTAAATGGCATATTTATTATATTAGTATTATACTAGATGGCTGTTCTTCTACTAATCCACTGCAACTCCCCTCCAGTCTCCGCACCACTACTTTTGTATCCTGTTCTCTCTCGCTCTCCTCCAACACTACTTCACTCGCCCCTACTCAGATGGTAATGCGCCGTCGCGACCTTCGCTCTCTCTCTCGCCTACTCTCTCCTCTTCCATCCTATCATCTCTTCCCTGGCTCAATCCTCTCCTCCAATCTCCTTTTTCTGCCTCCTCAACCCTCCTCTCCTCCCCTTTCTGCATCTTTACTCTCCTATGTCCCCTATCCAGCCCGGCCGGCCCCCTCTGTCCTCCACTCCTGCGCCGTGGCTTGAACGACTCATTGCGAGCTCACATACAGGGCTCCGGGCAGCTGAAGGCGGAAATGGATGAAACCCTATACCCCTGCGAACCCCTTTCCATCCAATCTCTTGTTTCAACTCCCTCCTCTCTACCTTTTCTTCCTCTGTTTTCTGCTGCTAAAGCCAACTTTCTACCACTCTAAAGTCACGCTTGTCCTCTAAACCCCTAGGAACCTCTTTGCCACCTCTCTCCTCCCTGCTTGAATCCTCCTCCTCCTCCCCCCCACCGGACCACAAGGTGCTATCACCGCACCTTCCCTTCCGTCGCTCTCGTGGATGACTTCGTCAACCATTTTGAAAGACGGTTGACGACATCCGATCCTCATGACTTCCGTCAAATGACACTGCTGTCCTGCTCACATCTGCCCTACCCTATGACTTTGACTTCTTTCTCCCCTCTCTCTCCAGATAAATCTTGCGACTTGTGACCCCAGCCGCCCAACACCTGCCCTCATTTGACCCCTCCGCTCTTTCTCGCAGACCATTTCCGAGACCTTCTCCTTACCTCACCTCGCTCAACAACTCATCCTTGACTCACTGGCTATGTTCCCTTCGGTCTTCAAGAGAGCGAGAGTTGCACCCCTTCTCAAAAAACCTACACTTGATCCCTCAGATGTCAACAACTCAGACCAGTATCCTCTTTCTTTTCGCTCCAAAACCTCTTGAGCGTGCCGTCTTTTAGACCAACTCTCTTGCTTCTCTTCAGAATGACCTTCTGATCCAAACCACGTCAGTTTTCAAGACTGGGTCATTCAATCCTGAGACTGCTCTTCTCTTGGTCACGGAGGCTCCCGCACTGCATAGCTAAACTCTCTCTCCTCTGCTCTCATCCTTCAGACTATCTGCTGCCTTTGATCCTGTGAACCAGCAGATCCTCCACCCTCTCCGAGTTTGGGCAGCTCCGGCGCGGCTCACTCTTGGATTGCGTCCTACCTCACATGTTCGCTCCTACCAGGCGGCGTGGCGAGACTCTGTCTCCGCACCACGTGCTCTCACACTGTTGTCCCCCCAGGCTCAATTCTAGGCCCTCTCCGAATCTCTCTATACACCGTCACTTGGTCTCGGTCATATCCTCACATGGTCCTCTCCTATCATAGCTCGCAGACGAAACCCAATTAATCTTCTCCTTTCCCCCTTGAAACCATGTTGCGAATCGCATCTCTGCATGTCTGGCATACCTACAGTGTGGATGACGGATCACCACCTCAAGCTGAACCTCGGCAAGACGGAGCTGCTCTTCCTCCCGGGGAAGGACTGCCCGCTCCATGATCTTGCCATCAGGGTTGACAAACTCCGTTGTGTCCTCCTCCCAGAGTGCAAAGAACCTTGGCGTGACCCTGGACAACACCTTGTCGTTCTCCCGCTAACATCAAAGCGGTGACCCGATCCCTGTAGGTTCATGCTCTACAACATTCGCAGACTACGACCCTACCATACAAAGAAAGCGCACAGGTCCTAATCCAGGCACTTGTCATCCTCCCGTCTGGATTACTGCAACTTGCTGTTGGCTGGACTCCCTGCCTGTGCCATTAAAACCCCTACAACTCATCCAGAATGCTGCAGAGCCCATCTGGTGTTCAACCTTCCGCAAGTTCTCTCACGTCACCGCCCGCTCCTCCGCACACTCCACTGGCTTCCAGTTGAAGCCTGCATCTGCTACAAGACCATGGTGCTTGCCTACGGAGCTGTGAGGGGAACGGCAACCTCCGTACCTTCAGGCTCTGATCAGTCCCTACACCCAAACGAGGGCATTGCGTTCATCCACCTCTGTCCTGCTGGCCCCCCTACCTCGTGCGGAAGCACAGTTCCCGCTCAGCCCAGTCAAAACTGTTCGCTGCTCTGGCACCCCAATGGTGGAACAAGCTCCCTCACGACGCCAGGACAGCGGAGTCACTCACCACCTTCCGGAGACACTTGAAACCCCACCTCTTAAGGAATACCTGGGATAGGATAAAAGTAATCCTTCTACCCCCCCCCCCCCCCCCAGAAAATGATATATTGTAAAGTGGTTGTCCCACTGGCTATCATAAGGTGAATGCACCAATTTGGTAAGTCGCTCTGGATAAGGACTAAAATGTAAAATGTAATGTAAATGTCTCCCCTTTGCTGCTATCCCAGCCTCCACTTTTCTGGGAAGACTTTCCACTAGATTTGGAACATTGCTGGGGGGACTAGCTTCCATTCAGCCACAAGAGAATTAGTGAGGTCGGGCACTGATGTTGGGCGATTAGGCCTGGCTCGCAGTCGGCATTCCATTTCAAACCCAATTGGTGTTCGATGTGGTTGAGGTCAAGGCTCTGTGCAGGCCAGTCAGTTCTTCCACACCAAACTCGACAAACCATTTCTGTATAGACCTCGCTTTGTGCACGGGGCATTGTCCATGCTGAAACAGGAAGGGCCTTTCCTAAACTGTTGCCACAAAGTTGGAAGCACAGAATCGTCTAGAATGTCATTGTATGCTGTAGCATTAAGATTTCCCTTCACTGGAACTAAGGGGCCTAGCCCGAACCATGTAAACCCGCCCCAGACCATTATTCCCTCCTACACCAAACTTTACAGTTGGCACTATACATTCGGGCAGGTAGCGTTTTCCTGGCGCCCGCCAAACCAGATTCGTCCGTCGGACTGCCGATGGTGAAGCGTTTTCACTGTTCCAGAGTCCAATGGCAGCGAGCTTTACACCACTCCAGCCGACGCTTGGCATTGCGCATGGTTATCTTAGCTTGTGTACGGCCATGGAACCCATTTCATGAAAAGGGTTATTACAGGACCCAAACAGTTGTTGTTAGTCAGTTTACTCCTGACGAATGTGCTGACATTGCTTCCAGAGGCATTTGGAACTCGGAAATGAGTGTTGCAACCGAGGACAGATTTTCATTACTTTTACACGCGTCCTGCGTGCTTCTAACCACTTGGCGGTGCCTTTTTGTCTGTGAGCTTGTGTGTGGCCTACCACTTTGCGGCTGCGCCTTTGTTGCTCCTAGAAACCTTTCCACTAAATGCAATCACTAATTTG